TAATCTGCAGATAAGATAAGGGTTTATCCTTATCATCTAAAAGGATGTCTGATCCAAATATGATTTGGATCAGCAGCTCCTAATTGGATTAGGAGCTGACCTTTTAGGATTACAAAAGGAGGGGGTGGCAGCCTCTAGAAGAATCACATAATCAGATCCTCTTTAGAGCTGAAATCAGTGAAGAAAGATTTCTGCAATCCCTGCAAAAGATCTTTCTTGACGCCTCCTTCCTATAGCCGCCAGACATCCAGTTCGATCTCTAGTTGTGGGAGAAGTCAAGATTTGATCTTGACATCAGTTCTTTGAGAAAGAATTGATAGGAAGCTGTGCTCACGTGCCATCTTGCTGTTTCTTGCAAAGGACAGAATTCTTGGAGAAGAATACTGCTGATTCTGCTCCATCCTGCACTGCGCCATCTTCAGTGGGAGCAGTCTTTGGATCCTTCCTTGAGCGTGAACACCTTCGTTGGGAGATACTTTTTCTCCGTATCAGGTATAATCCTCTCCTACTCCTTTTGGTTCAGACTTGGTTCAGTTTATGGTTCAAGATTGATCCTTGAAAATATGATTTTCTAAATAGGGAATGCGATTCCCAATTGAAAGGGAGAGAAAAATTTTTGAAATTCGCCCCTTCATTCCGCAAGATTTGGGCGTCCATATGATGGATCTCTCATCCCTTCAGACAATAACTCCAGGTTCTGACACATATATGCATTTGAGAGGCGGAAAAGAAATCTTATAACAAAATTAAAAATTGGGCAATGAGAAGTGGAGGACCCCGAGGAAATTTCTGAAGCTTTCCTATACTTCTTTAAAGATCTTTACCCAAAGAAAGAAAACAGAAAACTCTCCATAACCTTTTGGGAAGGGTTTAAACTGTCGGAGGAGAATAGTCTGTGGTTAGAAAGAGAGTTTCAAGATCAAGAAGTGAAGGATGCTGTCTTTAGCATGGATGGAGATAGAGCCCCAGGCCCTGATGGTTTCCCAATTCTATTTTATCAGATTTGTTGGAGCATAATTAGTTCAGATTTGATGCAGGTGTTTAATGATTTCTATCATTCAGCCATTGTCACAAAGGAAACAATTCTAATTTCATATGCTTGATTCCCAAGAGAAAGGGTACTTTAGAAGCAAAAGATTTCAGACCTATCAGCTTGACTGGGAATGTATACAAAACTTTAGCAAAGGTTCTAGCCGAAAGACTAAAAGTCCTAGGGGGAATCATTTCCCCAAATCAGTTTCCTTTGGTCAAAGGACGACAAATCATTGACAGCATCCTAATAGCAAACGAATGCGTTGAAGAGAGGAAGATGAATGGCAAACCAGGGGTGATTGTGAAACTCGATTTGGAAAAAGAATACGACAAAGTAGATTGGGAGTGTCTCACAGAAATAATGAGATTAATAGGATTTGGAWACAAGTGGATTCAGTGGGTTGAGGGATGTATAAGCTCCACCTGGTTCTCAGTTCTAATAAACGGGCAACCAAAAGGATATTTTAATGCTAGCAGAGGATTAAGACAAGGCTGCCCCCTCTCCCCATTGCTCTTTACTCTAGTCACATAAATCTTTAGCCAACTGGTGAATAAGGCTATCTCTCGGTCTTTTGAGAGGTTTTGAAGTCGGACGGGAAGCCACCCAGATATCTCATCTCCAGTTTGCCTATGATACCATCCTTTTCCTAGAGGCTGATGAAGAATTTGTATCAAATCTRAAATGGGTCATCACCTGTTTTGAATGGATTTYTRGACTGCAAGTAAACTTCGCAAAGAGCAGTATTGCTGGCCTAAATCTATCTGGTGCTCACTCCTTGGACACTTTCACAGAGATCTTGGGCTGTAAGGCAGAAAACCTCCCCTTCCTCTATCTGGGGATGCCCCTTGGAGGAAACCCGAGAAATCAAAACTTTTGGGAACCAATTCTAGAAAAATGTGAGAAGAAGTTAGCCACATGGAAAAGGAACTACTTATCAAAAGGGGGGAGGCTCAATCTAGTTAGAGCAGCATTGGCAAACCTTCCCACATTCTACCTCTCCATCTTCCGCATGCCCAACAAGATAGCAGTTCAGGTAGAAAAACTTCAGAGAAACATCATTTAGGAAGGAGGCGGGGAAAGGGGCTCTCACCTTGTGAAGTGGTCTCAGGTTAGCAAACCAAAGGAGGGAGGTGGATTGGGAGTAGGCCACTTGAAAGAAAGAAACTCAGCTCTTCTCAGTAAATGGTTGTGRTGATTCCCTCTTGAACCAAATGCRCTTTGGACTGCTGTAATTACTAGCAAATACGGAAAGCACGCCAACGGTTGGGATAGCAAGCTCCACTTGAATCGGGTCAAAGACACCCACCCTTGGAAAGGTATAATCTCAAACTACACTTTTTTCATATCCTTTATCAGATATAAGGTGGGAAAGGGCAATAGAATTAAGTTTTGGACTGATCTATGGTGGGGTAATTCTACCCTAGCCAACTCCTTCCCTCGCCTATTCAGCCTTACCATAAACCAAGAAGCTTCCATATCCCAGGTTTTACCCCCCTCCCCCCCTTACTTCAATTGGAATCTAAATCTCAGGAGACCTCCAAGGGACCTGGAATTTAGTGAAATCACTAGCTTCTTGCATACCCTGAGAGAGGTATACCTCTCCCAAATTTCCCCAGATCTCCGTGTTTGGACCCTGAACCCATCAGGTAAGTTTTCAACCAAGTCTTGCTTCAAGGCTTTAGTTAGGGAAGATCAATCTACTGATCAGTACCCCTACAAGAGAATTTGGTGTGCTCATATCCCTTTCAGGGTATGCTTTTTTGTGTGGGAAGCCAGCTTAAAGAAAATCAATACTTACGACCTCCTTCAGAAAAAGAACCATGGAAGGTATTATCTTTCTCCCCATGTGTGCTGTTTCTGCCTTAAAGCTGGGGAATCTATCAACCACATCCTGATKCACTGTGAGGAAACTAGAAAATTTTGGAATTTCTTTCTATCACTCTTTGAATACAGCTGGGCATTCCCAGAAAATGTGGTTGATTGCTTAGGGCAATGGTCCGGAAGAGGTTTAAGCAAAAGAGGAAAAACTTTATGGCTGTCTGCTGCTCATGCTATCTTCTGGAGCATTTGGGAAGAGAGAAACAACCGGGTSTTTACCAACAGAACAAAAAACTTTGARGAGCTGATTTCTATAATCTGTTATAGAKGTTTCTTGTGGACCTCCAACTCAATTTACTTCAGAGGAGTTACTTTTGATGACCTTCAAAGAAACACCATAAATTTTCTTCACTCTAATCATAAACAGCTCATCACTTCCCGCAGTTTCAGATCTGAAGTGGAAGGGTAGACGATCTTGTACTTTGACGGGAGTGCTTTTGGAAACCCAGGTGCTGCAGGTATTGGAGGGGTAATTCAAAACAGAAATGGCAATATCAGATGGGCTTTTAGTGGGCCAATTGGGATAGCCTCCTCAACAAAGGCCGACGTCATGGCAGCTCTAACTGGCATCAGGATTGCAAAAGACATGGGCTTACTAAACCTTACCATTAAAGGAGATTCAGCCAACACCATTAACTGACTTTCTAACCCTGACAGTGGGCCTTGGGCTTTAGCCCATTACCTGGCTGAAGCGAGAGACATCCTCTCTTCTCTAAATGCTCATGTAGTCTGGATTCCGAGGGAACTAAATTCTAAAGCCGACAGTCTAGCTAAATCCGGTGCTCACAGGGATTCCCTTTTTAGTGATAGTTTTTTGCCTATGTAACTTTCTGAGTGCTTAATTGCTGTGTACATCTCCTCATGTACCTTTCTTTTCTTCGAATAAAGTTAACTTTTTCTTCAAAAAAAAAAAAACAAATTTGTGGAGGACAATGTACTTGGTTTGTGGATTTCATATATGTATCAAGATATTCAAAAGAACTGAATACAAAATCATTTTAAGCTAACGTAATATATGACTATGTTTCATCTTAAACTAAATAGAGTAGAAAAAGGGCTGCCCAGTACACAAGGCTCCTTCCAATGTGGGGTCTGGGGAGGGACAGATGTACGAACCTTACCCCCTGCATATATAGGGAGGCTGTTTCCAAGATTTAAACCCTGGTCATCCAGGTTCCAGAGCAGCAACCCAATCATTGAGTCAAGGTCCACCCTCATAAATAAAATACTATAGAAAGTACTACATGTTAATATAACCCACATAAGAAAGAAGACCAATCTCGTTATCCACTTAAAACAATAAGATGTAATAGGCAAAGATATCACAATTCACATTCACACATTGCAAGTTTGTCTCCTCACATTTGCTCCTACTCCTTTAGGCTGAGTTTGGAAGGAGTACAAATGCAAATATGTAGAGTGCAAAACCTTATATTTTGTATGTATTTAAGTTATACATATTTGCATTTGTACTCTTTCCAGCTGAGCCTTTAGGACAGAAAGTATCTTCATTACAACTCTTAGCTATGGATCCTCACCATTGTCTTGTTGAAAATCATGTCCATAAGGATATATAAAAAATTGTATTTTTTTTATAGGAAATGAGAAAATTGTAATTGCCAAGGCCAATTGACATGAATAACTAGGTAGATGTAAAGCTAGTTGTTGTATAGTGATAGCTTGGGAAATTATGTACATGAAAAACTAGGCGGATATAATTTCCAAAAATCATTTCAATAGCTTTTATATATAATTTGCCACATAGCTTTTTATCTACCTAGGCTTTTGTACAATGATAGCTTTAACTATGTGGAAATTATAATTATGCAAAAGAACTGAATACAAAATGGCGTTTTCTACATATATTATTCAAAATTTTGTTACCCTTTCTCAAGAATGTTTTCTTTTTAAATTAGATCAGCCTTTTTCTTGTTTGTAAAATGTTAATTATAATGTAGCCTCCTCTCTCTCTGTAATAGACAACCTAGGGCCTTCAACAGATTAGATTTGGTTCCAACTATATATTTATAATATCATAACTCTAAACAATCAAACTAAATCAGACTTTGATATATTATCAACTTTACAGAATTAGCAAAAAGATGAGACTCTATAACCCTTACCCTTCACTTGATAACTGAATGCCCCAACCAACTTAATAATAAATATATGTCAGCAATATGCATGTATACTTGTATACATACAAATACACTATTCAGATAGGATCAGGACAAACCCAAATTTGATAATATTATAAATGGATCTGCCAAGTGCAAAATTGCTTAGTTGGACTTGATTTGGATCATGAATCTTGATCTGTTGACAGCCCCACTCTGACTTCAAATAGAGCAGCAACTCTATGGATCAAAACTTGATAAAAATCAACCCAACCTTAAGGGTATCATTTTGGCAGTATTTATACTACTGCTGTAAGTGAAAAGGCTACAGCAACTTCACAAAAAGTTCTCTCTCTCTATATTTGAGTGCAACATACATCCATAGATGCTACCTTAGAGCTGCATGCAACCTTGCTTTTAAGGCTTCATTAAACATCCCAATTCCCATGATTCTATGCTATAATCTCCAAAGAGTTTATAACTGTTAGAGAATAAAAACCTATTCTGGGACCTCATCTAACAGCTTAAGCTTTTAGGTTGAACGGTTCCTTGACATGGTACCAAAGCCTGTTTGACCAAGTGGTCTAGTGCTTGATCCTCATCTCCCCCCTTATAATTAATTAAATTTCAGCACAAGGTATTGGTGATTTGGTGGACCTTTACTTATTCACTTCAAGCCCAACAGGCATTCATGTGAGTGGGCATGTTGGAGAATAAAACCTATACAGGGATCTAACCTAACAGCTTAAACTTTTAAGTTGAACTGTTCCTTGAAAATAACTACCACTCCAGAAATCACATGACTGAAATCATACTCAAACTTTGTATTTGGTTGCTTCACATTTTTTTTAAATCAATCATGTTGGTAAAGACTCACCTTTTGGGTTTCTCCATCAAGCCATGTAAATGTTAAACGTTTCTCCTTCAATGCATCAGTTGCAGGCCTTAAATCCAAGAAATGAACACTATCAGCTGCATTGGGTTTATCATCATTTGATAATATAACTTGGACCCTGCGCATGGTCTATGAGAGTGTAAAATATATTTCTGTTATTAATGGCCATTAGATAATATAGACAAATTAATGACAAACAATGAATGCAAACATGAGACAAGTAATGATGGTATCTAGTAGTGATGCCTAAAGATTGCATTAAGTTATCAATGCTGCCATATAGCTGCCTAAGAATCTTAAGAACAAGATTGAAAAAAAGGAACACATTAGAGAACAGAACTTACTTCACGCATTTTATTAAGTTCCAGGCTTGGCCTTCCGGCAAGAACCACACAGTACCAAGTTGTGGTATCATATCCTGCACGGGAATAGCCCCGTGCATCACAACCCAACTCCATTGATGTTATGCTCCTCAATTGTGGAAGTTCTGGAAAGAAGAAAGAAAAAATAATAATAATAAGGAACAGCCCTTAATCTGGAAACTGAATTGTTTAAGCTGCAAAGTACACCATCATTTATTGTCAACATTATCTAAGCCCCACACCAACTATCTAGGGTTGACCAAATCAATTCCTTCTTGCCATTCATTGATTTTAGGATTCATGAAATTGTATAGCAGAAGGTTTTTCTGGCTGCCAACTGATGCAACTGCCCTCCATTTGGGATTGGAACCAGCAATGCAAGGAAAAAGCCTGAGACTTAAAAACCTAGTCATATGCCCATACTATCAAAAGAATGATAATAATATCAAAGAGCAACTCCAATCATTCCAAGCCTCATTCTTCTCAGAAAAAAAAAAAATCTTCCTTTCTGAGAGATGCAATTGCAACCATTCCAGACTTCCAAAATCAAGAAATGCATAATCACTCAGTTATAGGGTTGTCATAAACAGAAATTAGTAATATTTGCTATGTTCCAGCTAGAAGCATCAGAAATTGTGGCTCCTAAGCATCCTACATCAGTTCTCCATTTCCAGAGGCAAGATATGACAGAAAGATTGCACTTTCCAGAAATGGAATTTGCCAACTGATTACTAGAAGCCATCATAAACAATCACCCAATCAATTTGCCTCACTACTTAGACATTCCTAATTTCCTGCTTTTTCTCCATTGGCATTAACCAGAAAATCATTAACCATGGATCTAATATTTGTTTCTATATACTTTTCATCTTGATTTTTCCAACCCCAAACCTCTATTGATACCATAACTAGATCAAATACAATGCAAATAATGAAGTTACAACTTGCAACTCCTAAACCCAAATTAAGAATAAAACCTAACCAAAAATCAATTCCTAGAAAATAAATTTAAAGCATGAAAACTCATTCAAATCTCAAATAACTCAAAACTAGAGTCTTAGAGTTATTCAGCATCAATAAGCTGGTCATAAGTCGTTCAATCTATGCCCACATCCAGGTGTTCTTTTCTTCTCTTTTTTCCTTAGCATAATCCTTATTTTTTTTGACGAACTCTTATCATTAAAGTGGAAAAGAAAACAAAGAAGGTTTAACACTGGAGAACAGAAACAATGAGATACATTTTTCAACTTTTTTTTTATCTGATATCTAGTTCAGAACACCATTTCTGAGTCAACCACTATAGCAACTTCCAGAGCTTAATTTTTTATTTTTTTTTGATAAGTGAGAGCAATTTTATTAAATTAAATAACAAAAATACAATCAGCCTAGGAGGAGGCACGAGATGTTACCCCCCTAGGACTGAACCATATACACCAAAACTGCCCAAGCCTGAGACACAATTACAAAGTAGCCCAAAATAGATCTCCCCTTGACACCCCCTGCTTGGCCAGAGAATCAGCCATTGCATTTGCTGATCTTCTAACCCACTGAAACCTGACAGTCATACTCCTTGTCATCCATTTAACTTTCTTTAACAGATCCCTGTAGCCCCAACAAACTGTTTCTGGCCTAATTAGCCAGCCTACTACCACCTTGGAATCCCCTTCTACTAGCAGATTTGTCACACCACTTTGACTAGCCATCTGTATACCTTGTACCGCTGCTAGTAGCTCTGCCCTTTTGAATCACCTTCACCCACTGGTCCTGAAAATAGAGACAACATATTGCTGTCTTTGTCTCTCAGAATCCCACCAATTCCCGATGGTCCGGGATTGCCTTGGCAACTTCCATCAAAACTCAATTTTACCACACCATCCGGTGGGGGAAGGTACTCACCGAAAGTGTTCCTTCACAAAAGAGGGTAAAGTTTTCCATGAAGCAAAAGGATGTGAGCAATTAAATTTAAAACAAGTTACCTAATGCCAGCAGAGATTCAAAAGAATAGTGCTATTACCGTGCTGTTTATTTTTTTCCACAATATTTAAGAACTCTGAATTGTTGATGGATCCTGCAATGTAGAACAAAAATAGTTAGCTTGTTGAAGCTGGCAACATTAACTACAGCTTTTAGAAACAGCAACATAAGGGACAAAAGGAAAAATGCGAAAAGGAGTAACTGACACTCATAGTTAGCTTACCATGATACACCATAGGTTTAACCCCTGGATCTTTCAGAAACACAATAGCAGGAGCTGACTCCACCTCGAGCCTGTTGTCAATTACAATGGAAATGCCAGTCATAATGCATCCATTTACTGAAATTATAAAGCACCATACAGAAGATGGTGGGAGACTAAACATAGAGTTTTTTTACCACCAATTACATCTGTTACTGCTGTTCAGCCGAACTGAGGAAAGAGAGAGAAAAGAGAGAAGAAGAAGAAGAAGAGAATGAATAGTGTTGAACTGAGAAGACTGTTCGTCTAACCCAGTCGACCATATGCTTAAACATAACAAAATAAAAGTACAAAGACCGAAATGCCCCTGCATATGAGATCTACAGCTAACACCTTACTTAGGGGAAAAGACTAAACTACCCCTCTTTAGTCGACTCTAACACCCCCTCAAGCTGGAGAGTATATATCATATAATCCCAGCTTGTTACATATATAGCTCACTCTTCCCGAACTCAACCTTTTAGTGAACAGATCTGCCCATTGATCACTTGTTCTCACATGCTCAGTAATTATCTCACCATTGATGACCTTTTCCCTTACAAAGTGGCAATCTTCCTCTATGTCTTTAGTTCTCTCATGAAAAATTGGGTTGGATGAGATGTGAATTGCAGCCTGGTTGTCACAGTATAATTTCATGGGTTTGCTTATTGAAAACCCGATTTCCTGCAATAGATTCTTCAACCATACTAGTTCACATGTAGTATGTGCCATGGCCCTATATTTTGCTTCTGCACTACTCCTTGCTACAACAGTCTGCTTCTTGCTCTTCCATGTCACTAGATTTCCTCCTAGGAAGGTGCAATAACCTGTAGTGGATCTCCTGTCTGATATAGAGCCAGCCCAATCTACGTCAGTGTATCCAACTATTTCAAGATCACCTCCTGGCTTGTATAGTAACCCACGACCTAGGGCCCCCTTCAAATACTGCACAATTCTAAGAACTGCATCCCAGTGAGGCACCTAAGGATTCTGCATAAACTGGCTTACCACATTGACAACAAAAGAGATGCCAGGCCTAGTGATAGTTAGATAATTCAGTTTTCCCACTAGCCTTCTATACCTTCCAAGATTATCAAACAATTCACCTGTGTCACTTCCCAACTTCACATTCAGTTCCATGGGAGTTTTAGCTGGTTTAGCACCTTATAACATTGTTTCTTCCAACAGGTCAAAAACATATTCCGCTGACAGAGGTTGATGCCTTCCCTTTGATCTGGCAACACCTTTGATCTGGCAACATTTATACCTAGAAAATACTTCAACTTCCCAAGACCTTTTGTCAGAAAGTGATTTTATAGGAATGTCTTCAATCTATCAATCCCAACTCTATCACTGTCAATTATGACTATGTCATCCACATACACTACTAGCAAGATCTTCCCGGCCACAGAGTCATGGCTAAATACTGAATGGACAACTTGACATTGCCTCATTCCAAACTCCTTAACCACTTCACTGAATTTTCCAAAACAAGCACGGGGAGACTATTTGAGCCCATAGATCGCCTTCTTGAGCTTACACACCTTACCATCCTCCCCCTGAGCAACAAACCTTGGTGGTTGCTCCATGTACACTTCCTCTAGAAGATCACCATGGAGAAAGGCATTTTTAATATCAAGTTGAAAGAGAGGCCAATCATGCAAGACAACTGAGGAAATCAACACACGTATTGAGCCAATCTTTGCAACTAGAGAAAAGGTTTCGACATAGTCTACACCATAAAGTTGAGAGTATCCTTTTGCAACTAAACAGGTTTTCAGGCATTCCACTCTCCCATCTGGTAGATACTTAACAATATACACCCACTTACAACCAACATGTTTACCTGGGGGAAGATTGGTGAGTTCCCATGTATGGTTGTGATGAAGAGTAGAGAGTTCCTCTTCCATAGCTTTTCGCTACCTTGGTGAGGTAAGAGCCTCCTGAACATCCTTGGGTGTAGATACAGAGGACAACGGGGTAATAAACTCACGATGGGAAGCAGAAAGGTGAGATACAAAAACATAATTGGATATAGGATGTAGCGTGCAACTACGTTTACCTTTTCGCAATGCAATAGGAAGGTCATGATCAGAAGGCAATTCGGTTGGGTAAAGAGCTGGATCAGCCATTAGAGTAGAAGGTGGTGGGGGTGCTGGCCTTTGTCGATGAGTATACACTTTACGAATTGGTGGTCTTTCAGTACACTCCTACATTGGGTAGGATTAGGTTCAGGCATAATGGGAACCACCGAGATAGAATTATCAACCAGAAGAGGAAGAGGAACCTCTGTAAGAAGAGAAGAGATATCAAAAGTAGAGAAGTATGGCATCAACTCGAAAAATGTTAACATCAGGACACAAAGGATTTTCGAGTAATAGGGTTGTAGCATTTATACCCTTTCTGCTTCCTAGAGTAGCCAAGGAAGATACATTTAATGGAACAAGTATCCAACTTGTCTAGCCCAAGACCAAGATTCTGAACAAAGCACACACACACACACACGAAGATCTTGGAAGTCAGAGGATATGGAGACAAAGTGGGAAATAAGATGGAGAATGGAGAACGACCATCAAGAATGAACGAGAGCATGCAATTAATGAGAAAACAAGCAGTTAGGACTGCATCACTCCAGAAATGTTTAGGAACATTCATATGATGAAGAAGAGACTGAACTGTTTCAAGTAGATGTCGGTTCTTCCTCTCAACCACCCCATTTTGCTAAGGGGTGTTGGGACGAAGAATTTTAAGTGAAACACCAAATTGTGTGTACACTTCAACATGAAACTTTTGGAAAATGGAAAATAATTCACTTCTTTCTTTCATTAAATAAAGCCATATCATTCTCGAACAATCATCAACAAAGATGACAAAATATTTGTAACCATTATAAGACTCAATTCCGATTGGACCCTAACCATTTGAATGAACTAAATCAAAAGGACTCAACATGCGACTATCGACTCTAGGACTGAAGGAAACCCAATGGTATTTCCCATACTAACACGACTCACACTGCAAAGACGATAGACGACTCAATGATGGAACAAGAAGCTTGAGAGCTTTAAGAGATGGATGGCCAAGTCTACAATGCCACTGAAGAGGAGTCAAAGAGTTTTGAAGTGCAATGTAGATCCACCACCGTCAAGATAATACAATCCGCCAGCTTCATGCCCTCCATCAATCTTCTTCCCCGTCGTTAGATCCTAAAAAACACAAGAGGAAGGGTAAAATGTGATAGAACAATTGAGGGATTTGGTTAGTTTACTAACAAACATAAGATTAGAAGGAAACTTGGGAACGTAAAAAACAGAAGTCAAAGAAAGAGATGTTGTGTTAACATTACCAACACCATAGATGGGAGAAGTAGATCCATTGGCAAGGGTAACATTATTTGATGTAAAGGTTGGAGAAAGAGAGGAAACCACGCCTGGAGTCCCGGTCATGTGATCGGAGGCTCCAGAGTGAAGGTTTGGATGCTAGGCAAGCTATAAATGAATGAGCAAGGGTGGCAATATTCTGATGTGAGGTGGCCTTAAGAAATCTCTCATACTCCTCTCTTGGAATACTCATCATCTCCTTCCTAGAAGTAGTTGTGACTGTAGAAGATGCTGGATCAATTGGTTGAATATCACTGACTTCACTACCACCAACAACTGCATGATTAGCCCAAGTTGATGGTGGGCCATGCAAATCATAGCAGAAGTTAACTGTGTCCTTCTCTCCCACAATGTGTGTATTTTCTAGTAGTGCTCCCCCTTCCTCTGCCACGGTCTCCCCCTGAATCACGACCTCCTCCACTACCACGACCACCCATAGGGTTACCACGGTCTCCCTTAACTGTACGACCACCTCCTTTGTGCCCATAAGAATCACCTCGAGTGCTAACAAGTGCTGATCTGTCAGATGGTATGTTACACTCTGTGGGGGTAAGAGATATCCTACAGAGACGGGCAAACACTTCTTCTAGAGTAGGGAGAGCAGATCCTCCCAATATCTGTGCTCTGACAGGTTCATACTTTGCTTTCAGTCCCACCAAGAACCGTGTAACATCTAGTTGTTCCCTTTGTTGCTACTGAATTTTGACATCCAGAGTCAAGGGATGATAGACATTAAGTTCATTCCAAAGATTTCTCATACTGGCGTAATATTCTTCAAGAGTCTGATTTCCCTACTGCAAACTAAAGTATTCTTGATTAAGCTGATAAACCCTTGTGGTGTTGTCTTGTCCAGAATAGAGTTTCTTGGCATGTTCCCATATATCCCTTGCTGTATCTAAAAACATGAAATTAACACTGATTCTAGGCTCCATACTGTTCCAACAACCACGTCATAATTTGAGCATCCTCTTGCTCCCAATCACTAAAACCCGGGGATTCAGCACTAGGTTTCTCCTCCCGTACATGTTTCACTTTCTTCTTAGCCTTCAGAAACACCTCCACTGGCTTGGTCCACGGAATATAGTTTTCACCATTGAGTTTGATGGAGGTCATTTGGACATTTAAAAAACTAGAGGAGATCATTACACTAGATTTCTGGTCACCACTCGCATCACCCATCGATGCCATTTCAGTCGACAAAGTCAGTTCTGCCCGTCACACACAAAAAAACAGTTCCAACCACTGCACTACCGTTCAGCAACTACCACACCAGCACACTTGCAATCACCATGTACTAGACCTAGCATACATTCGGCCACTTCAAACACCACTATACTGTGAACAAGCAGATTTAAAACCACAAAGATCCCTCTTGAAACTGCTCATTAGAGAGTTCAGACCACCACAACTGCACCTACTCGACCACCACAGCTGTCACGCATGGTGACAGAAGTCCACATGAGATTTTTTTTTTTCTGTTCACTTGACTGCTGTACTCTTCCCTTGTCACCAGAAGTCAAGCCACCGAAACCCTAAAGGTTGCCACAGGAATCTGGGTTTTGCTGCAGTTTTCTACCCCAGATTTCTCGCACCAGAAAAAAATGGAAAAAAAAAAGAAGACGAACTGAGAAATGTTAGTTGAGAAAGCTGTAATCGACTGTTATCAATGGCGC